CTTTTTACACTATCTATGACTATTATGATTATGAACCTGTGGACTGCAGGCAAGCCGCCGACGCCGACGTTCGCTGCGCAGCGGTGCCCTTGTTAGGCACCGGCTGTGCTGCCCGCCGGCCTGGCAATCCGTGTTAAGGCTGGTGAAGATCTGTTAGGGCTTAGGGTTTAGGGTCTGGGTTTAGGGTTTAGGGTTTAGGTTTTCTTTCCCCTCCTGCAGGGTTTAGGGTTTAGGGTTTAGGGTTTAGGGTTTAGAGTTTAGGGTTGCAACCCCGAGCCCAACAAAAAGCCAGAAGCCCCCTACGCAGTGCCAGCGCAACCCGGCTTGCCGGCCCAAGGTTTGACTCAAAGTCGCTCACCCCCCCCATCTCTTGCTGCTTCGGATCCCTAAACCCTAAACCCTAAACCCTAAACCCGAACCTCGAAGACTGTGAAGTTGAAGCTCAGGGCCGCCATGAATTTAGATGTGCTGTGTCTTGGGTCTAGCATTCTCAACGTGAGGACCACGCACCAAAAAAAACATGCGAAGCTACGTAATGATGAGGAGCAGCCATGCTTTCCCGTTTTTGGGTCCTGGTGGTGCACTTCGCTCGCGAGGAGGCTGAGGGCTGCTGCCTCTTGACCTGGCCCACTTGACACCATCAGCAGCCCACTTTTTCTGGACAAAGGAGGAACTCAGGATCAAAAAGGGCACCCGTTTTTGGCTTTAAGGGGATTATAAGGGAACCCCAACCCAACCCCAAAAAAAGGAAATAAGGGCCCACGCCGGGTCCTAGTTTTTTTGGCCATGAAGGACGACAGAGGCAAGAGCAGCTGGGCCCCAGGCTGCGACTGTGGCAAGCGAGGCCTGGAAAGAAATCCTAAACCCTGCAGTTTAGGGTTTAGGGTTTAGGGTTTAGGGTTTAGGGGCCAACCTGCACCCTACAAGGCCCTAAAGCCTAAACACTCGACTCCAAAAACCCTAGACCCTCCAACAAGCCTGCCAACCCCAAATTCCGGAACCCTTAAACTTTAGGGCACCCTCATCTCACCAATTGTGGTACGGGGGTGGCTTTGTTTGGAGCTTAGAATGCATCAGGCGGTGCAGGGCATGGTCAGCTATGTCGTGAACACATCCTGGAGTCAAAGGTTTAGGCCGCATTGCTACCACGAAGCACACCATACCACTTGCAAGTGTATACACATGTATCTATATATATATATATACTCATGTACATATGTGCATACATATATAACATTACCCTACTACAATTCCGAACACCGTCGCTTAGCCGCCTACCAGCGCATGTCCACAAGCTAGGGCCCCAGCAGGCTAACTCGCGACTGAGCGGGAGCACGGGCCTGGTTGCCGAGGTGATTGAGTATGTATATGTACATACGTGTGTATATGCATTTCTCTACTTAGTCATGTATAATATATACATATGTATATATATATATATATATATATTTGTGTATATATGTGTACATGTGTGTATATGTTTTTGGGGAAGGGCTGAGAGCAAGGACCTTGGGGGCTATGAGATAGGACCCTGCATAGGGAGATACAGTATCCTGGGTAAATAGGCAAGCTATGTGCAATGGGCCACAGAGGGCTGCAGAAGCTGCATTTCAGCAGAGGCTTTTCCTCCAACCCGACACCAACTAAAACCCTAAAATTGCCCTTAAAACCAAACTGCAGCGCCCTGAATATAGAAACCCTATCAAACAGCCTACTGGTTCTTAGTGGCGAGTGAGGGAATATGTGTATATTACATCCGCTATAAATGCGCATATATACTCTTTAATAAGGGGAAAACACATCAGGATGGCCGAAGAGCAGGATGGCCGGGAACTTCGACGAAGACTCGGCATACCAACGGGCCGAGACGAAGTTCGACGAAGGGCGGGGGGGCCGGGCGAAGGTTCGACGAAGGCCGGGAGGTTCGACGAAGGGGGAGGGGGTTCGACGAAGGCCGATACAAAAGGCCAAGACAAAGCCCGAAAAAAACGCGAAGGTTCGACGAAGGCTAAATGAAGGCCGGAGGTTCGACGAAGGCCACAGGGGCAGGGAGGGGGGTTCGACGAAGGCCAAGAGTTTCGACGAAGGCTAGGAGAGTTCGACGGCCTTTGCCGAAGGCTGTGTGCCATCCGCCCCCATACGCCGTCCTGATCGGTTTGCCCCTGATTTAAGGAATTACGTAGGGTACTGCGTGAGGTTCATGGGTAGTTACAAGTTGGGTGAGAAGTACCCTGGCAGAAGTATGGTAAGTACTTCTGATAACAAGTACCCTAAACGGGCAGAAGTATGGTAAGTATAAGATTTCTGGTTCCCCTTTGCAACTGGACTCCTTGCTGGTTCCCCCAAACCCTAAACGCTTTTTCCAACCTGTGCTGAGGCCGAGGCATGTGACGGGAAGGGCATACACTGGCGCTCTCAAACCCTAAGACTCAGACCCTAAACCCTGCTTGTATCTACCCATGAACCTCCAGGCAAGTGCTCAGCCCAGGGCCCCGGCCGGCGCCGGCGCTGCGCCGCGAGCTTTCGCAGCGGTGGGCGAGACGTGGCGGGGAGCCTCGGGAGAGGCTTTGAGTAGGGTTTAGGGTTTAGGGTTTAGGGTGTAGGGTTTAGGGTATTGGGCTTGAGGGTTTAGGGCTTTAGGGCTTTAGGGCTTCAGTGTTCTTGCTTCCTTGTCTAACGCATGGCCATGCCACGCTTCCTCTGAGGCTTCGAGCCTGATTCTCTCAGCACAGCCTCGGGCCTCCAAGCCCTATACTTGGCTGCACTCAGGAGGGGAGCTATAAATTAAACTTGTAGCTGCCTTATTAAGAAACCCAATAAACCCAAAAAGGGTAAGGATCTAAAGTTACAGTAAAGTACCACAAAGTATAGTATATAAGCCCTAAGCCCAAAACAGCCCAAAACCCTATGACTACCTGAAAGCCAGGGAAGCATGGCTGGGGGCATGCCTTTTCAAGGCAGGGTCTTGGTTAAAGGCAAGCCGCGCAGAGGTAAACAAGCTTGTCGTCAAAATCGTCTCAGTTCCGGGCTCCTTGCCCAAACAATCCGAGGACAGAGTCTGGGCTGCGAGCGCGAGCGTCGCGGCTGTGGATGCGAGCTTCAATCTGAGATTTGTGAGGATTTGGGATTTACGGCACTTGAAACTTGCAGTTTTGAGCTTGGAAGGAGATTCTGAAACTCTCCTCCTCTCGCCGTTTGAATTTTGATCGCGGTCCCCAGGCATGCAACACTCCAAACCTCCGACAAAAGCCCCTTCTGATGTCTTGAACCTTCCGTGCAAACTCAAGAAATCTTCAAGACTGACTGCTGACCAGCCAAGCTCAAGAACACCTGCATATTAATATTGAGATACCGCGAGAGTTAGACCACCAAAGGTGTTGCCTTTCCCGCGGTACGTTTCGTTGCTTACGACGCACCACATATCCCAGGCCTTCTCTTGCTGGAGATTCGGCTGCAGCGACCTGCACACAGCAAAAGCCCGCCAAGTACAGAGAGTTGCAGCCTCAAGGGACCATGCGGACACTGCGGCAAAGGTCGGGCGGGCAAAGGATGCCACACCACAAACAGATCACAATAGGGGGTACTCTAATCCCTATTAAGGACTGTTAGTCATAGGGGGTACTTTTATTAAGGACTGTTAGTATAAGGGGGAACATCCCAAGTTGTAGGGTTTAGGGCACTGGCCCTCCACCCACCCTCGTGCCTGGATCGCACAGGGCCTCTGGAGCGCAGGCATGAATGTGCTGTTTAGGGTTTAGGGTTTAGGGTTTAGGGTTTAGGGTTTAGGGTTTAGGGTTTGCTGGGAGGCCCGTTTTACACCGAAACCCGACTCCCGGCCCCTGCAGACTCTGAAAGCTGGTGCATGGTTGGGGATGGCTGGGTCCCCGGGTCCTGACTTGATGCCTTTCTTCGGTTCAGGTCTAGGGTTCATTTGGCTGCAGGATGAGGCCGTCGTGATAAAGCCTGTAGACCAGAAAGCAGCAAACCCTAAACCCTAAACCCTAAACCCTAAACCCTAAACCCTAAACCCTAAACCGGTGCTTCTTAAATCTGCGCGGGCCGATCCCAAGTCCAGTTGCGAGCTGCGGCTGCCCTTTCGACTTCGTCTTCATGTCTTCTTTCTCCCCCAAGGCAAGCCCTAAACCCTAAACCCTAAACCCTGAACCCTAAACCCTAAACCCTAAGACCTGACCCCTGAACCCTAAACCCTAAACCTGATCTTGGCCCAACACCCTCCAGCAAATCTTCCGGCCCATCCTGAACAAGCGCGAGGAGCACAAGGTGTTGGCAGTTCACATCGGGGAGCTAGAGGAGGGACCCTTTTTAGGCACCTTAAGGGCTTATTTAGGGTTTAGGGTTTAGGATTAATGATCCTTAGGGTTCAGGGCTTAGGGCTTAGGGCTTAGGGCTTGGGGTTTAGGGTTTAGGGTTTAGGGTTTGGGGTTAGGGTTTTGGGTTTAGGGATACAGAGCCTATATAAGGTCGGATGTAAGGGTATCGGGAGAGCTGGAGGCGCAAAGCCTTTGGGATGCGCAGAGGGCAGCTCATGTTGGGTCCGCTGTCCCTTTTTCCAGAGCTGCTCCCTAAACCCTAAACCCCAAACCCCAAACCCTAAACAGACCAGGATGGCCCTTAAACTTCCTCCGAAAAAGATTCCTGCACATGATCCTCTTAAACCCCATCACGGAAAACAGCAGACATCCCTTCAGGGCCTACCTAGTAGAGCTGCTGAACAGCACCAGGGTGCCCAGGACTTTTGCGAGGCAAAGGCCGGGAATCGAAAACAGGTCATGTTTGGGCACGGCAACCCCACGCCATCGGCAGCCAGAAGCATCCGAAAACAGGGGCAGATCGTGCTGCAAAACTTCATGCCGATGCTGGGGTTTAGGGTTTAGGGTTTAGGGTTTAGGGTTTAGGGTTTAGGGTTTAGGGTTTAGGGTTTGCTACTCTGGAGCCCCAAGTGCACCCTGAACCCTCAGTCGTTGTCTCCCATACCGATTCTATAACCTCATTCAAGATGACGCCGTGCATGCGGATGCATGTATGCAAGTGTCCGAGGGCGTGCATTATGCTGCCCGCGACCCCGCGGCACGGGGCTGAACATGATATGCAAGGCTTACGGCAAGGTTTAAGAAGCTTAGGGTTCAGGGGATTTTCGGGGCTGAGTGGGATTCGAGACTTTCAAGGATGCAGGTGCTTCAAGAATTCAGGAATGCAGTTTTTTGGGTGTGGTGCTTCGGCTCCAGGGCTTTAGGGGCCTAGGATTGCTGGAGATCTCCAGGGCGCGGGCGGTATCCTCTGCCTCCAGGCCCTCCTGAGCTGAGGCGGGATTTCGCTTGCATCCATCACCAATACACAACAGCCCCAGCTGAAAAAGGCGAAAGGTCGTTTCGACTCTCGAAGCACTGCTATTCACAGAACCGAGGATTAGCTGTCTTGCACGAGCACAGAGCCTTAAACCGGAATTCAATCGAGGCGTGTTGTTCGGTTGGCCGTGGGCGTGGGCCTGCCAGAAGGGTTTTTGGCCTGGACGGCGTGCTTGGAGGTTATCGTCCTACTTAATAGGGTTGTAAGCCAAGTAGCTATCACCAAAGATTAACTGTGGCCATCCATTCTAAATTACCAATAACTACCCGTGAACCTCTGCAAAACCCGTTTACCCCAAAACACATGCTGTAGGCCGAGATGCCGGGATGCCAATTTTGGCCTCGGTATCCTGGCAGGCTCTCTCTTGAAACAGTTTAGTAGGAAAGCCTAAACCCTAAACCCTAAACATCCCTAAACCCTAAACCCTAAACCCTAAACCCTAAACCCTAAACCCTAAACGGGAGATTCCGGCATTTCCCGGGCCCAAGCCCACCCTCATGAGGCTTCCGAACATGCCCCTCACCCACTCCGACAACCCCGGCATTCAAAGAACCCCTACTGCAAACTGCATGAAACCCTAAACCCTAAACCCTAAACCCTAAAAACCCTAAAACCCGAAAATAGGGCCATCTGGTATGTATGCGGGAAACTTGGAGGTTCTACTCTGGCCCCTCCCTCAACAATCATGATGATGATATCCATGATATTCGGAAACGTGGAACTGCGCACAGGTGTTTACCCTCATACATACATATATATATATGTATATATATATATATATATGTATGTGCTATGTAGAGTACAGATGCATATACATAAACAAGCAAGTGAAGAACTAAATGAATAAATTATATATATATGTGTGTGTTTTAATTTATATTCATATTTATATTTCATTTATTCATGCATGCACGTGTTTGTCATCGGCATGAGAATACTAAGGTCAATTGGATGCATTCGCTATTAGTACACGCCTCATGATGTTGAATCCATTTCGTGTGAACCCTGCCGGGCCGCCTCCCGCTGTCCACCTAGGCCCATTGCGGGGGGTCGTAACCGTTTGTCTAATTTAGGGTTGAGATGGGTTGAGCATTGGCTTAGACTTCATGGATGTAAGGAGAAGAGGTCATCTTTGGCTTCGCAAATGCTCGCCGAGTCGTTCAAAGGGAACAAAAGTGTTAGGACCTTCCAAGGTTGTGGCAAGTTCAGGCTCGCTGGCTACGTGCAGAGGTCAAGCTTGCTTGACATGCCAATACCACTAAGAGGCAACTTGGCCCAGCTGCATCTATACCTACAAGATGGTGATGACTGCATGTGGGCGTAGACGCTCTGCGTCCGCGGCGTCCGCGGACATGCAGAGTGTTCCTCACAAGCCAGCAAGGCTTGCCTCCGTGAAGAAACGAACAGCGCCTTAGGGCACCGAGCCATCCGAACGCGGTGTTTGCAACGCCCCTGAGTCGCGCCTGGCCCAGGCGGCTTCGCAAGTTCATGTAGTTAGTGTACATTCTAAGCGCATGTCAACTTGGGCCATCTAAATCTAGCTCAAGCAAACACATGAGTCCACAGCAAGCGGAAAAGCAAGGCCTAGCGCAAATGATCATATTAGGTTTGAAAAGGGCTCAAGCCACCAAACTCCACATTTGCAACCATGGGTGCAAAATGTATCAAGCCATTCCCCTGGCCTGCGCGATGGTAGGGGCGGCCTCAGTCAGAGAGATGCAAAAAGCTGGGGCTCAGCAACGGAGGCTTACAATCGCCGAGTGCTACATGACCAAAGCTCGGAGCAGAGAAACTCTACAACGACTGCACAAATCTGCGCAACCCCAGCACTTTGGAAACAGTTGCTGCGCTTGACGCAAAGGCCCTCCACCCTAAAAGGGGTGTGAGGTCCTGGACCCCCAAACACTTGTCAGCACATTGCTTTCGGAACTGAAATGAACTGAACGTGCGGTCATGTCAATGTGCTCCTCAACAACAAGCAGCCCGCAGGCCCATGCCCAACGCCCTGTTTCTAAAGCTCGATCCCTGAGGCATTGGGTTGGCAAACGCTCCGAAGTTCTCAAGCCTCTTATCCCAAGGCTCTGGTTTGTGAGGCCATGGCAAGGAACGGGGCGAGTTGCTCCGATGAGCCTCGCGAGCGCCGAGCGATGATCTTCGGTGGCGTGTGCCCACGTCATGGTCTAGGGTTTAGGCCGTATGGGGTCCCTATATGTCCCTTTTTCTACCCACTCCTGAACCCTCGGCGAGTCCTCTAGTCTGGCGTTTAGAAGTTGGTAAGTACCGATGCAACGACACCATTAGACTAAGGGCCCTAAACCCTAAGCCCTTTTTTTGAACCCGTGCTATGCAGCTGCCTGAGACGGGAAGCCCTAAACCCCAGATTAAAAGCACCCTAACGGTCAATCTCAAACCGCACCACGCTTTACGTAACTTAAAGCTTTCCTCCCAAAACCAACTGCCCCAGTCCCTTGGGGACCACCTGAGCCCCAACAGGGGTTTCTCACATTCCTTACTAGGGATCTTAGTCATATGGGGTACATGACCCCAATTTTGAGGCGTCCCCGAGGTACCTCGGACAGCTCACTGACAACCCACTAGGCCGCCCTGCGCGGGCAAGCCGCGCGTGGCGCCGGCTCTGCTCGTAGCTGCTTTTGTGGTCGCGGCGGGAGTAGGCGGACCTCGGGTCTTAAGAAGCCATTGGGTGAAGCTAGGTTCCCCAACCTAACCAAACAGGAAGCAATATCATTTCGTTGGAGTTGCGTGTGGCTTGTTTTGGGGGGGGGGGGGGGGGTGGGGGAAGAGGGCGTATACTCCGGGTGCACGATTCCGACATGGTGTTCGACGCCTTCGCTCCCGTGTGCTCATGCATGGGGTTACAAGGCGCAGAACACAAAAGGAAAAGTCATGGAGACTCCTCGTAAGAGGACACAAGAAGCTTCCCACAGCTCACCGCCGGGGCTTCGGGGGTGAGGGTGAGGACCGAGCCGAACAAGCAAAACCTCCAGGCCCCCGAGCCCTGCACCCCCCAAAACCCTGAACCCTAAACCCTAAACCCTAACCCACCCCCCCAAGAAACTGCTGAGCTTCCCGACTTCTGACTCTCCAAGCGCTTGAGAAGGCGCTGGTTCTCCACGTCGATCCGCTGGAGCCTCCGATGGGTCTGCACCCAATAGCAAAACCAAAGAAAGGAGCCCTATAGAGGCCTTAATGATTCAAATAGGGTTTTGGGTTAGTATAGTTTAACTACAAAGGACCATAAGGGAATACTATGGCTAATTCCGACTCGCCTATTTCCTCTGCAGCACTTGCGGTTTTGAGCAAAGCTCGGGGTTTAGGAGCGGAATAGTAGCTACGGAGGCCCTCAATTCTGCAAGGAGTTTAGGGTTCCGGGTTGCGGGGCTCAAGGCACAGCCGGAAAACCCAAAAGCCTTTCAATTCTGAGGCCCTCACTCCTTTCGCCGTTGATTTGTGTTCAAGCCTGGGCCAACTTGGGACGACATGGGCTTATCTCACTGCCGATACAAGACTAGGACACAAGTTTCCGAACTGACTTTCTACAGTACAGCCCTGCTATAAAGCTAAGCCATGCAGGTCCGTGCACCTTTTCGAACAGCGGCGCTCGAAGCGTTGAAGCCTGGTATAGACTTCGGGTGAAACGACATTCCAAGGCACCGTAGAAATCAGGCTGATGGCCTCTGGACGAATATTTGAGACCCTAAACCCTAAACCCTAAACCTTAAGATTGCGGAGTTGCTGACTTTCCAGGCTTCGGTCTCTCGATGCCTCTTATGCGGACGCTCTGCTCCACTGGAATGCGGAGCACGCCGGTGAAACTGGTGCGGCATGCAAGGGAAAGCATGGCTTCACGACCCTGTGCCGCATGAAGCCCCCCTCAATTCAGTAAGACGCCCCATTGGGGCGTTTCCGAAATTAGGGGTACCCTATAAGGGAATCCTACTATTATTAGGGGTCCCTTCTCAGCGTATACCCCCATTCTGCTGGAAATTGCTGGTAGCAACCCTCGAGTACTGTTAGTGCCTGAATCGGCTCGCTCTATTCGTGTTCGTACTCAACGCAGCACGACGGCCGAACAATAAATGGTGTGAAGCGTTTGGGGCTTTGTGGATTACGGTTTGCGAACTGGACGTCGGTATTAGCGAGATGCAGTCTTCAAAACCAATTACACTGCGTCGTGGCATGACTGACAGGCAGCAATCAGATAATAGGTTTTGGACGGAGTACAACTTCTATCTTCGCATCCCAGCCTACGTCTAAATCCACGCGAATTCCCAGCCCTTAACTCTAATCCCTGAACCTGAAACCCTAAACCCTAAACCCTAGACACTTTTTGACGATGAACCTTGCTCTCCCCTAGCTTTTCAAGAGCTATCGTCGATCCGTCGCCCCTCAGCCATGGATCTCATATACCTGTCTGGCGAGTTTAGGGTTTAGGGTTTAGGGGCCCGAAGTAGCCGGGACGGCTCTGAATCGTGGGACGCAGCATGAGACAAACGAAGAGGGGCTGTCTGTGCCGCTCTTGCAACATGGAAGTCCGCAGAATCCTAAATCCCTAGCCCATACAGCGCCAACCCCGTGCCTCCAAGACCCTTAAACCTCTGCTGTTCTGGCCCTA